GTATAATATTGGCTTAAATCAGAAAAGAAAAGAAGGATTAAAAAAAATTTTTTTCACTGACGTGATAACCATAAATTAGGATTATCCGGCAATATATTTTTATATTCCTGACAATTTTTAGACTATCAAATTTTACAAAGTAGGCCAAGCATTCAGAATAATAATTAAGTAACTAAAATTAAACCTTCTGCAGATTACTGTTTCCTAATGAAGGCAATATTTTTGATAATTATAGGATCAGTAATAGTCGCTGAATAATAACTGTGAAAGTTGATAATTGGGATCTTAATAGATAGAGCGGTGACCAATTGTAAATATATTGACCTTCTTTGGTTTATTCAAGAAAAATTGTTTCTTTTTTTTAGCCAATGTTTTGAATAAAAATGAGATTTTTAAAGACAACCAATTTAGATCTAAAAACAATTAAACAGTGTTGTTACGGAATTCTCTTTGTCGTAGTGGATTAAACCGAGACAAGGGGAAAAAAAGATATATTTTCAGCTTTTTGATGATCTGTCACCATCACCTGTTGACGGTGTTAAAGAGGACAATGGTATCTCTTTTGATGACACGATTCCGTTAACTAAGACGGAAAATGTGGAAAAGAAGAAAGCTAAAAAATTCCCGTTACTTAATTGTTGCCAAAGTAGTATGGTATGTTCAGTCGATATTTTAACAGTCAGCAAAATTAAAAAAAAAACATCAGGGTGCTTTAGATGGTTGAAATTTCTTTTAGATGTCATCTGGAAGCAGTTCTGGTTTTACTATGACAAATCCAATTAAAAAATGTACAGTAGAAGTGACACCAAAACCAGGTACAACACTTCACGAAGCTCATCCCGGTCCATCAACTGCAGTTCCATTAACTCGGCCATCAACTTTGAATCCGTTATCTGGTAGCACTAAATGTACTCTGATGTATTCCGGATCGTCAACGGCAGCAAGGAGATTGGCTCAACCAGCTTCATCTTACACTTATAAACCGTATGTTAACTGTTAACAGTGATCGATGAAATTCTCGTATTTCTCTGTTAAATTTCATTTAGTTGAAAAGTATTGTACCTCTTTTCTGCAATAGTTAAGTTTTTTTTTCAGTGTTTGGATAGAACCAATTTACAAAGGAAAACTCACAAAAAAGAATGAAAATTTAAGTTCAGCTAAAACATTTTCGGAGAATTCAGTCTTTCAAGAAAAAAGTGATATTAACTCAGTGAGTGGCGTTCGCATTGGCCGTCGAGAATCACTAGACAGTAAAAAAGATTTTAAGAAAAGGTAAAAAGCCAATTTAGCATAACTTTTTTCAAGTATAACATTTAGAAGAACTCCATGTGTGTATAAATGGAATTTCTTATATGTTCCAAGTAATTTCTGAAGTGTTGTTCAAAGTCTGATAATTCATCCAATTTACTTTTTAACTTCGTGAAATGAGTATTGAATTCCAGTAAGCGACTGGTCGAGAGACGAAATTCAGCTGAGAATGATCCACGTTCTTCACATACTCTGCCATCACCATATTCCAAGGTAAAACATTTCGACAAAATTTTCTGTTGCAATCAGGGAAGAGCAAGTTGAAGTTATATTAATCTTAATGCCAAACCTTTCAAACAGTCTATTTATTTATATTCATCACTAGAATTCTTGTAAGTGGTCAAATTTGTCTAGGGACTAAAAAAGCAATTTAAACAGATAACAGACGCTCGTGCTGATGCGGGGACCTACTCATCTGGTCATGGAAGCGATGAAAATGGTTCTGTGTACTGTAGGCCACTGATTACATTGCTTTCTCCGCGGACCAACCGACCAAGAAATCGCGAGAGCTTTTCTGCAAGTAGTGGATACGAAAGCGCTTCAGGAGAAAGTAAAAATTATGGTTGGTTTTTCCCAAGAATTAGCATCGTAGAAATGATGAAAAGGTTTTGTAGTAAAGAACTGTTCTTTTTAGCTGCTACGTCAAGAAGAAGGCTATTAGAAACAAAGCGATATAAACCACCAGATGAGGTATCATTTGTTATTTAAGCGTTTTAAAGCAAAAAAATGTTCCTTTAAATAAAGCTTTTCGAATTGTCAAGTACTTTTAATATTTATACTACAGTAACATCGTCTCTGTTTTAGACAAATAGTGTAATGGAAAAACGGATTAACGGGCTGATTCAGAGACAAAAATTTTTACGAGAAGAACTTCGAGAAGCTAAACGAGTTTTGGGTTTAAATGAAGATCATTTTATATCGGCAACTTCAACTACCTTGCAGGGGAAGACATTATATGAAGCTCTTGCACAAGTCTGTTCCATTGTTCTTTTGCTTTTTTTTCCACAATTTTTTTGTCGGATCAAACTTTCATGGTTTTGGGGTTTAATGGCTTTTCTACGGTTAATTTCTGGAAATCGTGTGTTTGCAGTAGAGATTTTTGATTGTTAGTTGTTTTCAGGAAACAAAAATTTTGGAGAAAAGGCTGATAGCGTGTAGGAATCATGCGATGATAGTAACATGTCTTCTGTGATCTCAGACTAACTTTTTTTTTTGTCCATAAATTGTCATTTAGTTTGTTTGCTCAATGTATGAAAGATTCTCCTATATTATATATATCATATTTCTTCTATGTGAACCACGCAACAATAAAGTGTTATTGATGAGAGTTTGTTTTTCTGAACAAGTAACATACAGTGTTGAAATAGAGCGACATGAACAACCATTGGAAATGTTAGCAAGGCTGCAGTTAAAAAAATAATCACATCGACTAGACACTATTTAAATTGATAATTCTTTGAATTCTATTATTTATGTAGAGAGCAGCTCCAAGCTGCGTGAATCGCTGTCAGAAACCAAAATCCGTCGAAGTGCAATACACATCCGAAATTACGTCTAACGAGTGAAGATGGATTCAATTAGATGGCATTTACTGTGATACGTCCTATGGATTTTTTACACTGCTGTAGTCCAACTGATATTACACCAGTGGAAGTCTGTAACAACTCAAATTATGTTCCTCCGCAGGAGCGGGAGGGACTGCTCAACTTGTACAAAACCAGTGTGACCCCTATGGAAAATTACTGGCACCTCTTAAAGAATGAATATCTGTTTAGTCTTGGAGAGGGCCAAACATTAGTACACAAGGAACAAAGAATACCACGAATTGGTAACTTAGTTCTCGTCAAGGAAACTAGCCTCGGGCGAGAAGGATGGAAGTTGAGTAGAATAGAGGAGATTGAGGCGCGGCATGACTACATAAAGGCTGTTACAATAGTTTTACCAAATCATAAACGAATCGGGAGGCTGTTGTAGTGGCTTTGTACAGTTAGATGTGTCGCAGACTGAAGAATTTTGAAACTTTCCAGTTCTTTATTTTGCGATAAAAAATTTTTTCCTTCTTTTTTCCTTTTTATAATTATAAATTTTTCTTCATGTTTTCAGCACCTCCTTTCATTTTCAGTTTCAAATTTAAAATTTCAACTTTTTTGTTTCCAAATTAAAAGCTCAGTTTAAAATTATTATGGGGTTTAATTTTTAAATTTTTACAGTTAAAAACACTTTGTTTATTCAGTATAACTTTTTATTTCTCTTCTTCTTCTTCTTCTTCTTCTTTAATTTAAGTCTAAAATTTAAAAATTTTGATTTTTCTTTTCCTTCGAAGCTTCAGTTTTCAAAGGTTCAATTTAGAGTTTATTACGTTATTTTCTTTCACAAGTTAAACGTTATTGTGTTCGCTCAATTTTGATTTTTTCTTATTCGTATTGCACTATCTTAGGTCTTTTCTTTTATTGCGTTATTTGTTTTAAACTTTACACGTAAAATTTTATCATATTTATTCAGTTTGGATTTTTCCTTGTTACCTATGCTGCGCTCTTTTTAGCTTTCTTTCGTTATTCATTTTCAATTTTCTTTACAATCAAATGTGATCTATTCAAGTTTTTTGTTGGCGTAGGTTTTGTTTCAATTTCTTTTTTTTTTCGTTATTTTAGATTTACTTCAATTACACGAGTGAAATGGAGCAAATTTGTACAATGGCTCAGAGATTCATGACTAGAGATGGTTAGCAGAAGTGTCCAAATGTCAGTGTTCAATATTCCGGAAACCACCCAAAAAAGATGAGTGAAGATGATTTAATCAATTTATTGGATCTTTACATCCTATAAACTTTCATTTTTTCTTTTTGAACAATTGATTTCTCATACTTATTCTGGATTTGCGTTTCATTTTAAATTGTTATTTGATTCACTGGTGTCACTTTATTTCACTTTATTGTGACTTCTTCTCACTTAATCAGATTCCCTTAATAATATTGATTCTCATAATTAGAATCTCACGTTCAGAGCTAGTGGTTGTTATTTCTTTGTGTTTCTCTGATCGTGCCCGCTGAGCAATTTCATCAATTTTAGTTTAAATTCGTTTTTTTTTTTTTTTGAAACTTTAGTTTCAAATAGTTTACTGTTTGGTGTTTTTTAAATTCTTTAGGTTTTTGTTTGTTCAAAGTTACTTTGTTTGTGTTTTTTAATGATAATTTTTCATCATAATTTGTTTCAGGATCACTAGAAGTCTGTCTGACCTGTGTTTCCTTTTGCTGTAAACGTTGGCAATTACAACTGCTTGCAACATTTAAGTGTGGAAGCAAGGATCCCCGTAGGGATGCTGAAGAGGAGTTTTGATCAACTCCCCAGTTAAAGAGGTTGCCGATAGTTGCGAAACTTAGTGAAACAAAATAAGGTCTTCTTAGAGAAGCCTTCTTGAACTATCTAGATGTCGGTGGAAATACGAGGAAAGATGTGCCATTCTAATTACTCATCAGTGGAGCGCCAAGAAACTTAAATTCTTTTTAGTTTCGTCATAGAAAACCAGAAGATGTGTGCTAAGTGACTATACAATCCTCAATTGTATAGTCTCTTAGCACACAGTAAACAGTAATCAGGAACCACGAAAAACTGTGAATGGAATAATGAAATTACTAATGCAGCAGGAGCATTTTCAATGTTAAAAACTGCAAAATGATGAAATATCAGAGTGAGTTTGAATGAGTTGTTGTTTTCGGCTCCGTAGTAGAACCATCATTCTACATATAGGTGGTAGTGAAATGAGATCCCTGCTTTCAAAAGTAGTGGCAGAAGCGAAGTAAGGAAGTAGCAAAAAAATGAATATATTTGCCTACTAATTAGTGAAAGACGGTACCTCTATTTTCACCACTCACGCCACAATTTCAACAGTAGTTTAGTTTTAGTAAAAGTATTTTGAATAGTTGCTTTCGTTTTCTCAAAACCACATTCACCAGTTGCCTCAAAGAACAAATATGACGGTGACCAAAACTTTCAGTTTACCAGGACACGCTTACAAAGTACTTAACAAAAAAAGTGGTTAAAAGTTTTTGGAACAAAAAAGAGACCAAAATTAGCAAGGTGCAGATATTATGCCCAGTTAAAAACTAAAAGTGATTAACTTCTGTGAAATTTTTATTGATGAAGGAAGTATCCGACAGGATAGACTTTAGTGTCGTTTGCAAATTACGTTTTGTATGCAAGGAGTAACATATATAAGTACCTGTACTCTCAATGCATAATTAATGCACGTTTACAAAATGTTCCTTTTTTTTAACTTGATTTTTTTCTAACTCCATTTCCTATCCCATGGTGGTATTTCTTAATTTGTACAATTTTTGCCCGTGTAACTCGTTAAACGGCGAATGGTTGGTAGAAGGGTTCAGTACTGCAAATAAATGAAGCTAAACGGTTTCCATTCATGAGACATCTGCCAAAGTCTTTTTATTTCTACATTCCTTGCGATGATAATGCTTGTATTTGTATTTTTGTTGTTTTCGCAGCTACATTCCGGTTACTCGCATTTTTTCATTTACTTATTCTTGTTTATGAACAATCTGTATAAATAATAGAACATTAGAACGACATCAGAAAAAAAAAGAAGGAAAAAAAAGTGGAAAAGGGGAAAAGTACACGAAATTTGTTGATTGGGTCACAAATGAAGCGATATAAAAGCCTCGTGATTTTGTCCTGAAAATTCAGAACACTTTTGATACTTTTCAACTTAATGATAATTTAGGTATTTTAATAAATGCTTTCATAACTAACTCAACAATTTTATAGTGGAAACCAATAAAATGCAGTTCTAGTAAAATCAACTACAGTATTTTTACCTTAGCAAAATATAAAGCTGAATCAAAAAAAAGTATGGAAATTATCCCGTGTCGTTATGTGCTGAAATTGTGGCTAGGCTAATTTAGTAGTTCAATTATGAGATTTTTCTGAAAGGTATTTTAAAATTTCTTCAAATGACGGCCGTTCTTGCGGTTTCTCTGCTACACAGCTCTCAGACAACTCCTTTTGTTTCGATGATCCGTTAAATGAGGAATAAAGATGATATTGTCTAAAAAAACCTACAGTTTATCGTTCGTGCTAGGAAAGCAAAAAAATCTTTTTTTTTTCTTTTTTAGAAAAATTATACAGTGTCGGTTTATTGTCAGTCACTGTCTCCATGCGGTACCACACAGTTCTATGAACACAACTATCAGCAGTCTTTCTCAATAAAAGCTCTGAGATTAGAATACCAAAACTCCATATATCGACCTGAAAATTTATAATGATTTTTTTTTTCAGGCTGTCATGCACAAGATAAAACTGTTATAATAATTTATATTGCAACGAGTGAAGACAAATCAAAATCTAAAGTAGAAAAAAAGTGAAATAAGATTAAAAACAAAAGAGAAAACCAACTTTATCAGAGCATTGATTTTTTTTCAACATTTCTGGTGCTGTATAAGCAAATGACGCGAAATCTTTTCCTTCAAGTTTTTTATTTCTAGAGCGAAAAATTTTTACAGCTTTTTGAGAGTCGAGACAAATGCTGAAATAAAAAAACGCCAAAAAAATAGTCAAAATTTTATGAACAAAAAACTTAAAAATTATGGTTTACCTATCAGGGTTTAGGCTAGAATGAATAATTTTATGCGAATGTAAATAACTCATTCCATCAGCGATTTGCAATAACCAACTGTCACAATCTTCTTGACAGATTTTGAAGGTAGTATCATGTATCAGTTTTTGAAAAGTTCGCTCCTCAGAATACTTCAGCATCGTGTGACAGTATGGATTTCCATTGAAATTGCACATAAAAATTTGTTTATTTTTTAAGCTACTCGTAGCAAAATACCAATTCCAAAACCTAAATGTAATTTTTTTTTTGAAAATGAATTTATTGTTTTT